TTAAATATTTCATTAAATGACAAAACTCAAGGAACACAACATTTTCCCATGTAATTGATAAGAAGTAACACATGTCATGAAATTATTTCGGGGAAAGATGCATTCATATGTGGGGTCTAGTGAAAATGATTACAGAGAAATATAGGGTGTTCAAGATCAGGATTTTCCAAATTTAGTATTATTTGTTTCGAAACTATTCATTATCGGTCAAAAGGGCTTTCTTGTCCCTATCATTCTGATTCACTATTTACTGATATTCGATTGGAACAAATACAGGGTGACTCAAGATTCAGAATTCTGATCAGGTCCAATTGAAATCCGTTTTGACCGATAATGAAAAGTTTCGTTGGAAAATCTCGATTTTGAACACCTGCTTATATCTCTGTAATTATTCTCGCTGGATTCCAAGTGCCATACATTGATTGTATCAGCTCTTCAGGGAAAATCTAGAAAAATACCAAGGTGTTCTGTTTGAATTAGTTTGAAATATCAAAGTTGCTACTACTTCCTGGTACAAGCTGCAACGCTGCAAAATATTTCAGATCGATAGACCAAAAGCACAACTTCTTGAGTAACTAAATTTTCTGAATGATCCCATATTTCATCTCCGAAAACGTCTAAAGGTACCATCGAACGTGACCCACCCTGTACATATTCACACAATTGATAATATAGATGAAACTATTTTGATTTGTTGAAAGATCACCAATACCCAAGATGTCATAATATGGTGATAGACTATAGAATGCCAGAATGGATCAGGATATGAGTAGTGTTCATTCATATGAAGTTTATGATTGGTATAGTGTATTAAGATAATCAAGTAGGTTAGTTGATGTGAATCAGGAAATAGGTAGGTAGGTATATTGTCTTTGAAAATACTCTACTTACCTCATGATTTCTGAGAATCGCGTTTTCCCTATGTTATCATGATTGAAATTATTTTCCTCAAACAATTCAACAAAACCTACCCACATCACCCCACCCCCTCCCATTGCATGCACACCTTAGCAGTTTGTGGATTACATAGACAGAAAATCTGATACCATAAATTTTCCTAAGTTCTACGTTATACTACGTTGAAATGACATACACTTCAACCGAGTATTTGACATATGAAACACTCTGTACTGTATTATTTAATGTAATGATAATGAAGTTTCGTAAAAGTTCACAAGTTGATTTGAATGGATAATAGGTATTGCTCATAATTTGTAATAATACATACATATCTAATAAAGTTAATGGAAATGGACTATAGTACAAAAAACCCTATACATATGAATATCATACAAGAGATGAAATTTATATTATTACATAGAATCATCATGACATATACGAGTACAATAAGTTACCTGTAGAAACATTAAAGAATCGGATTCTGTCATATGTGTGGCCAAGTAGAATAATACAACCTTATCGTCTATCTTTGATAAATGATTAGTTTTGATTGTAATAATTGGAAATGACTTCTTATCGTGAAGCTTCTTATTTTCAACATTTGATTTTTTTTTCAAACATTCATTTTGATACATATGATTGCAAACACTCCCTATAATATGGTTTTCTTTATTCAAGTTATTGTGAGACATTCTGTCAATAATTGTTTGGCATAAGGAATATTTTCATGGACGATGGAAAGATGATTGAAAGAAAATGGATATATTTGATAAACATGAAATGTCGCTCACTGTACAAAACACTATCAAAATTGATATCGTGAAAATTATCGAGTTGGCCATGAAAAACAATGGAAACAGTTTGCTGTTTTTTGATTGTTTGATTTGTTTCGCACAAAAAACGGTCAGTGCTGTAACTTCTGAATCTTTCGCTGGTTGACTTGCCTTCAACCAAGGAGAAGTTATCCTTTCTTTGTGTAGTTCTCTGTTTGATATTTATCTATTCACCTATTTGAAATCTACAAGAAAAATAGAGGAACTACAACATTGTGACATTACGGCACATTTTTAAAAGTTGAAACGAGAATCCTTGGGAGTTTCGAATGATTCTTTGTAAAGTGAACCCTTGTAGAAAGTTATATAACTCAAAAAATTGATAACCCAATTCTGGATTTGATCAGGATTGCACGAATCGATTCAAATAAATTCAGTCAATGATTTAGTTCGCAAATAAATTCAGATGACTATTTATGAAAAAAAAGTCATAAATAATTGATTCAAACTTGTTTCAATGGCATTATGGGGCAATCTGACCATTATAAATATCAACAATGGACAACCATGGAGAGCTCGCTGGCGGAAAAGTTGCATATATGTATTCATATAATAATAAATAAAATTAAATTCGTGGAACAGAGGGTGGGGGCCGCGTGGGTGAAGTTGTATTAAAAAGCCGGGGTCTCGAATCATTAGTTACTGTTCGGCGTATGTCGCAAGTTACCTACTTTAATTGAAAAAAAAAGTTTGGGCAGACGACATTGCCGAACGTGTTATGATGCGCAGTGGCGCTGTATCTTCTGAACAATGTTTAATTAAAAGTTATCATTTGTTAATGTTCGGCATTTCGTGCTTTCAACAACATTTTAGTTGGATCGGGGGCCCATCAGCTACCTCGCGTACTTTTGTCTTAGGGTGTAGAGTATGTGTTTATCACACATTTAATGTTCGGCATTGATTGACTGATATTGTTTCTGAATGAAATGGAAGCATGCAAAATATATACCGCATAAATCAATTGGATATTGACCTTCATAGTCTTAAAATCCAGTTTTCGGTAACTTTTTCCGGCACAGTGAATTCGAGACTTTTTTGACTCGTGCTGAACGCATTCTCGATGTTGGTATAATAATGAATCATCAGGGCGCAAGACTGAAATGATTATAGTTCCAAGAAAGAAAGAAACGTTATATCAATAATTATAAATGAAAACCAGTACACAGTAGACGGTACACCGTATGTTTCACTGTGCACTTTGAGAAGTTTCAGATATCTTCTTGAAGTGAATGTACAAGTAAGTAATACGAAACTTTTTTAATATTACAAGAACGGATTATTTATAAGAATATGACATAAAAGATAAAATAATTTATCTAGATCACAGTTATCCAATAATTTTACAAAATTCGCAACACCATATTCCTTGTGGAACGCTAAAATTGGATTATATCTTTTTCCAGGTTATGCCAGTCGAGGCATCAGTTGTTCAATGAGTACATTCAGAGGTATTTCTGACTCAGTTGTCAGTCTCAATCGCATCGATACTAGGATCAACTTTTATTACATCCATGTCTATTTCCACATCCATTTCCATTGTTTCAGGTTATTGCTACGCTTCGAAACTTATGTTCTGATCTATCCTGAATTTCACTAGTTTCTAGATCCATATCTGATGGTAGATTCTTATATAATTCTTCATAAAATTTGTTCACAGTCATACCAACAACCCGAAAGGGCAATTCGTCTTTTTTACCACTCCACATAAAGCACTACCAGAAGCTGTACGGTTGAACAATCTATGGTGGTACAGATAGCGTTTTACTGCCAAATTGATCGATATTATATCATGATACTAACAACTGTAGTTGAACTTTCGACATACCTCTCAATATTTGGTTATTCAGCAATACAAGGCAGGATAGTTCCGATCTAAATATTCTACTGAAATATTAATATCATAGCTGACACAAGCAATACGAATAAGTTGTATCATTTAACGGTCAATGTTCGAACACCTCTCGTGCCTTCAATATAATATACACTTCACAGAAATCTGCTCAAACTATGATACAGAAATCTGTAAAAAAACGGTACAAATAACGACCACCAATGCAGCATTTGCCACCGATTATGTGGTACACAACGTGTGTACAGTGCTTGAAAAGGTTAACAGACTTACGCCGAACGGTAAAGTACAGTCAGAGATAATGATAATGGGACCACACGTTGAAGTGAAAATGTACCATATTTTGGTACATTATTATTTCAAATCAGCATGGAACGCAATTATAACATAACGGACCTTGAATTGGGTTCTTGGGAAGTAGATGGCTCGTTCTCATTGGTTCAAGTTTAATAGGAAACCTAACGTAACATACATATATTTAATGAATTGTTTTAGAAATACGATTTCACTTCCTCATCCATCTTTATATTCCTTATAGAAATGAAAATTGAAAACCGAAAGAATACAACATACAACCTGTGATACAACCGTTGGGGAATCATAGGTACTGTATTTTATTGTGCAGAATCGTCACCAGCATACATTTAGACGGGTAGATAGCGTCCGCATAAACAGAACACAAAAATGTGTTTCGGAAGAAGAAGAGTAACATGTTTACATTGAGTTCATTGACATCACCAAGGTGTCTAGTTCCTTCACTATACAATAGGTGGTCTGGTAACTAATTATCCAAACGAAGGTTATGTCAATGATGATTTAATGGAATGGAATGAACATATGAATATTGTGATTTTATACATAGACGCGAAAAAATGAGAATATACCTACCAAAAATGCCTTATATTCTAAATGTAGTACCACCGGACCAAACAGAATTGAATGTACCACATTCGGTACAAATGTACCACCGCGACAACACTAGTGAAGTAATGATTCGAGAAACCGGTTTTTTTTATACAACTTCACCCTCCACCCTTTGGTGACCGATTTTTATTCGGCGAGCTCATGTCTGTGCAGTGGAAGGTGAAATATGAGAGGTGTTCATACTGCTGAGCGTGGAAAAATGACTCAAATGTGACACAAAAAACACGTTCTGGGGCTCCCCTGGCTCCTGGTTTGATAGTTTTATTTGTTGCTGTGCGAAAATAGCATGTTCCGTTATGTTACGCTTTACGATTTTTTTGAAGGAAATGAAAACTCAGTTATTTGTTGCGTTTCTTGTATTATGTTTAGGTGGATGAATTCTGTTTATTTTTCGGAGTGAATTGATTCAGGAAAGTCCGACTAAATTCAAAAAGTTGTATTTCATGGAACTCATGACTTGTTTAGACCCTGGTTTTGATGCATTCATTCGATCATTATTTGACAGGGGCCGGCATAATCTTCCCCTTAGCAGGCGTAGGGGAGCTGGTGGCGCTTCTGGATATCCTCGCGCTCTGCTCAGGCACCACTAGCTTCGTCTCGATCAGCTTCCAGGTGGGCGGTTGGCAGCTGCTGACGCACGGATCTGTGTTCATGGGCCTGCTCAGCGTGTGGATGGGGATCCTGTAGATGCGGAGTGGCCGCACCTCAGGAGAAACTGGGGAAACAAATCTTGTCTTACACAGAAATTATTGTTTCTACAAGCGTGCATGATTCACCGCGTATACCCCTGAACGCAACCGTGTGAGAAAAACAATGACCTTTTTTTATGTTCTGATGGTTCCCACGAAATGTGGACATCGTGAGATCAAGGGAAATAAGGTAGGAATTGGTGTTCTCCTTAAATTTCTGGAGGTTATATGCCTCGGGAAACACCTTTCTTGGCTATGTGTTCCAGAGCCTTGCTGTTAGTTGGATGAACGAGTCTTTGGGAAGAGATGTTATGCAGGTCTTCAAAGTGACCACGAAGGGGTGCGAAGCCTCAACTCGACGAGTTAATCTCGCGGGGACTGCCAAGGGAGGAACAATTGTTGATATTTCAGAAGAGCATCGTCCATGAAAATGTCTATAAAATATAGCCAGATCGCCAACTTTTCTACGGTGTTCCAGAGAAGTGAGTGAGTTTGTGGGCGAGGCATCACCCACGAGACGAATTGCCCTTTTTTGACAGAATTCAACAGTTGGAGGGTATGTTCGGGTGCTGCACTCCAAATATGGGAGGAACAGTATTCCAGGATAATAGGTCGGATCTGTGCCTTATAGATCAGAAGCAGCTGACTGGAAGTGAAATACCTCCTGTCCCGAAACAGAAAACCAAGAATGGGATGCACTTTTAGCAATTGATCTCACGTGATTTTCCCAAGAAAGGTCATTGCTGATAGTGATACCAAGCATCGAAATGGATGCCTTCAAAGGTACGGTTACTTCTGACAAGCTTATGTTGGGCACAGTGAGATGGGCTTTCCTAGAGAAAAGGCATGCTTGTGTTTTGTTTGCATTGAAATCTACCAAGTATTGGATCCCCATTAGAGAATTGTTGCCAAGTCCATGTTTATGTTGTCAACATTTCTCCTTCGTTCGTTTCCTTTCCTTGCCTGGCTGGTATTGGAGTCCTGGAAGAGAAGGCGGTATGGAGGGTACTATCATCCGCGGAGCTGTGTACTGGACATGAAGTTGCTTCCAAGAAATCGTTGATATGGAGTAGAAATAGAAGAATTGATCCTCGCGGAAGCAGCAGCGAGCAGGTGACGGAAACCATATGATATTTCGCAAAATATGAGTGATAGGTGTTGGAATATGAAAGTTCAAGCACGTTTGTTGGAGTATTAGGTATGTGTATGTTCAGAAACATCCATCGAATTGCACTATTTATTGTGGAACTTGAGGAATATTGAGAAACATGAATGGATTGTTATAAAAATTCCCGTATAGACTTGGGTTGATCTGATGTGGGGACCAATTATTGTTGTTATGTCAATTAAACCGTTCATTAAATGAACAACAATGGTAGATGACGAGATGATGAATCGATGGCTATTTCGCGTAAATACTAATCAGTTTGTTGTCGAAGTGACACACACAGCGCTACTGTCATTTTCGATTCCGTGAAATTGTCACAACAATAAAGTGAGTGTTTTTTAAAGTACTGAATGAATTTCAGGCCAAATTATCCATTTCTGAGGAATCTTCTGAACCACACTGATTTCAATCTCCAATTTGTCACATTCATGAGGGAAAATCACATATACAGGGTGATCCACGTTTGCGTTATGTCCACGACACTTTCTTCAAATGGAACACACTATATATGATATTGAATTTTCTGAATCTTCATGGAAAGTTGAATTCAAAACTTTATCACACATAATATAAAATACCGATGGCGTAATGTCTCCAACATGAATTATTCGAATTTGGGAGGGTGCCAGGAGATTCCTCTGAGATGGATGGTTTGTCTAAAAATGAATTGATTTTGTACTTTACGAAAGGGGCCTGAGGGTGGGGATGTCTTTGTTTGTAGTTGATTAACGTTTTTCCAAACATGAAATTTAGTGTGTTCGTGTTGTACAGGATCAGAATTACTTTCGAACACGCTAGCTAATCCATCATTTCATGAAGAATGTACAATATAACCATTCAAATTTGGTGTGACGGATCAATTTGAAAGGAATGATGCAAATATTAGGTACCTTCTAAGAAAACAAATTCTAATGTGGTGAATTGTTGAGGTCTAATTGATCGTAAAGTAGAATATTAGAATGTTTGCTTTGTTAACGAAACATTTCGTTTTTTGTTGGTATCTTATTGTTTTTTAAATTTTTAATTAATTTGATATGGATTGTCATCAAAAGTAACGGCCGAGTGAATGCAAAAGTTTGAATATAGTCATTTAATTTTTTCATTTATTGATGATGTGTCACAAATCACCCAATCATAACAACGTCAGTATTAAAAACACCTTACAGAAAAACATTTTTATAGAATAGTATATTGTTTTATTAGGATCAAAAGTGACACTTTGTTTGACAAGCGAATTTTGCATTTGCGAGGCGGAGCGTTTAGCGAAGCCGAGCGAAAGAAAAATTTGCGAGTTGAACAAAGTCACTTTTGATCCGAATGAAACATGCTATTTTTTCTGCAACCGAAACAATTAACTCAAATAAATATGTCAAGTTACCACCAATGCCCTGCCATATGTATGCAATGCAACAAATATATTGACAAAAATATAATCCGTGTGGTGAGAATATTCTACCTGCATTAACATCAGCAGGATAGGTTTTCAAGGATGTTCGAATTGTAGTTCCCAGGGGCGGCGAGTGCATGGGGGCATCGGGGCCAATGCACCCATGTAGGCAGTGGGTATGGGTGCAATGCACCCATTGGCCGAAACAGACGTATAAAAAAACAAATTAGATACGGGCGAAAATGAGCACTTGTATACAAGTATAGGTAAACAACCATGCGAACCGTATATTCGATTCATGTGCATCCAGGGTTTGACACTGTGCACTGTGCAGATATTCCGATTTAAATTTTAGACATTATGACATCACAGGTTACAAGTGCCAGTTTGGAAAAAAATAGAAGTGGCTAATGAATCCATTGATAATACAGTCAGTAGGAATACCTTTGCAATAAATTAACTGGGGTTACTTGCTAATTTTTCGAATCCCGAAGTTTCTCTATTCCATTTTTTGAGATATGAGAAATATTAAATCTTATTTTATTTTTGTAGAGATTGAATTTTCTAATATCGTTTTAAATTTTGAGTTATGTTCACTTTTTTCAATGGTGAAAAAAAAATTCTTCTATTTCTCATCCTTGTTCATATTAATATATCAACCATAAACTCGAAACCTGATTAGTCACAAAATATTATATATTGGTAGAGGTGTTTCACACTTGATGCAAAATAAATAATGCTTTGATCTATCTTGAAATTTGATGGCATTTGACCTTGAACCATGAAAAATTTTCGCCTGCGGCGCATAATTTTGTCTTAACCTGACCCCTCAATTTTGGCACCCATTGGACAAAACAAAACTCGCCGCCCCTGGTAGTTCCAATAATAAAAATACAACCACAGAGTGACATAATAATCGTGTATGGACCAGGTGCTCTAATGGCAAATACCGCGCCAGTGCCAGCTATATAGGAACAAGACGTGGAAAATGTTAGGTTAGCGAGCATATCAACAATGATAATAGTGATTATTTATTCCTCTCCATACTACACTGTGTTTGACTTGATAATCGAATGAAGCTAAACAATATCGTTGTTTGAGACAAAAAACTATTGCTTGCCGTGATTATTCAAAAACAAGAAGTTATCCATCCCGAGAATAACGAATGAAATACAGATCAAGCAAGTATTAGAATCTTGAAGGCTTGCCTGATCAAACAGAAATACTCAGCTGAGATGTTTATAATCCCAATACTTAACTATAATAAGGTGTATTCATATCTCCAGCATGGGTATGAAATGCCAAATCTGCTGAAATCGGGAACAAATCAGGTATGCGTCTCAAACCGAATAGCCAACCGTCACAATGTTGTTTATTCTTGATGACGTCCAGTACATCCTTTTTAGTTCCTAGGAGCTGAAGTTCAACTTTAGCTCCTAGGCACTAAAATTCAACTTTAGCTCCTAGGAACTAAATATGTTGCCAAGCAACATACCTATTTTTGTGTCAGTAATAGAAACGTCAATTTAAGCTGATTTTGGTATCAAAATGGACGACTTTTGTGTCGGTTGCAGAAAAATCTGTTTTTTCAGCATCTACGCTATGTGGCGACGTGAAGTTCAATATTTTTTGTTGCTGCATAGAAATAGTATATTGTTTAACGAGCACGGAAAGATAGTGATTTCATTCGAGTAGGAAATTAGCATTCCGTGCAAGTTATACATCATAATTTTTCTACGGCTATAATAGAAAACAGCGGCATTTTCGATTTCTTCGTCTTGTAGCCATCTGATTTCCTGTCAAGTAATGCTCATCTATTAGACAGAGCTGTCATTGCTTGAAATTTGACATTCCATGGGCGATGAGTTTCATTTGAAATAATAGCACAATGGAGTCATTCTGATATCAGATACAGAAATAAAATTGATGACATACAAAGTACCTCATTGACGTATCGAACACAGTAAAACAAGTTCAATTTCGTGTTATAGCCGTAAAAAAAACTATTTCCAAATCTTGTTTCTTTATCCTTACCGTTTGGACTGGATGGAGGCGAATATTTCTGCAAATCCTGTTGCCTGACGTCTACAAAGAGTCTGTCGGTTTTGTTCGGGAAGAATTCCGGTGCAGTCGTGGCGAAAAATATGTCGTTTTTAGAAGCTATCAGCTGCAGCTTCGGCATAGTCATCGTGTGGATCAGATTGCCGTTCACGATCAGTCTGATTTCCATCGAATTTTGCGTGAAAGCTATGACGTATGGAAATGCGCATACTGAAAATATTCTTCGTTAGAAAAAGGGCTGGTAGGTTTACATTTTTCGATAAGTTATACATATTTATTTTTGAAACAAGCGTGAAAACGAAGTTCAAATAAGTTTACTGACAATTCTTTAGGGGGTTGTCTGTTCCCATATACAGGGTGTCCCAGAATTATATAGGAAGATTTCAACCACAGATTCTATGAACGAAAATGCTGAAAAAACTTCATATAAACATGGTTTTAGAAATGCCCTCCTGAAGCCTTCTGAAGGAAGCCCGAGATGATGGTTTTATGTAGATACTTTTCATGTCAGATTTGGGAATGTCCGTGATTTGACCAGGATATACGATAATCATAACATTTTTACTGAAAAAATGTACTACTAAAATTGTGCTGCCTCATCAAAATCAAATCAAATCAAATCAAAATTTATTCCTTCACCCATACATACCTTTTTTTTTACACATAATTGCATAATTAAGTTCAATGTATAAGCAACAGTTAATTACATTTTTTTTTTTTCAAGCGATGATTCTGCTGGGAGGATACAACCTAGGTACGAGTACCTGTATTGTTGAAGTCCTTCAGCAGGACCATTTACATTTAGGAAATTGAGCTTTATTTCAATTTTTTCTCAATTAAGAGTGAGTGGATGAATGGCAGGAAAAGAAATGGAATTTATGGTGTTGATTAATTATGGCAGTTTTTTTACGATTTGCGGTGGTAGTAATAATAGTAATTAAGATGAGAACAATCAAGCAGGTATTAATGAAATATATCAAATTTTTCAGGGCACTGTAAGAGCAATTTTTTTATTTCTTCTTTGAATTTAGGTTTTTTGGAAATTTGTTTTATGTTAACGGGCAGTGAGTTGAATAGCTTGGGTCCATAGTAAAAATAGGTTTTTTGTGTGAGAGTTTTTCTAAATACGTTTATCTGTATATTCTGCCCTGTAGCTGATCTTGTGGTGGAGGTTAATTTTGGATATTTATCCTGCTCAGAAAAAATTTTTTGGAGACACTGATAGACGTATATTTGTCTGATTTTGAACAAGTTGGTTTCCTCGTACAGTAGTGTAGTTGAAAACTTTCTGTCTTTTTTAAATGTTATTTTGATTAAGGTATTTTGAGCCGTTTGTAAGTTTTGCATTGTGGTTGTGAACGTTCCCCCCCAAATGGTTATACAGTAGCTTAATATAGATTCTACCAATGACCTATATATCATTAATAGAATTTTTCTAGATAAAATATCTCTGATGTTGTAAAATTTATGCATTATGTATCGTACCCTCTTAGTAAGAAAAACTATTTGATCCGACCATCTAATATGCTGGTCAATCATGATACCTAAATATTTGATGACTTTTACACACTCTATAGATGGGCAATCACATTCGGGGAGATTACATTTGGGGTTATGAAGTATAATGTTGAAGGTGGGCTGATCGGTTTTTGTGGGTGAAAATGTGATATATTTTGTTTTATTAATATTCAGGCTCAAAAGGTTGTGATTTAGCCAAAGTTTAATGTATTTTAGGTTTGTTTCTGTTTTTCTGTGGACTTCACTCAATAGTGCTTTTTCCTTGATAGGGTACCAAAAATTCAATTTTGATGGAAAATACCAATTTCTCAATATCAACTATTGATGTTTGATTCAAAACATGTGTGAAATTGAAGAATGATATGGTGGGTATTCTATCAATAAAAATACTATTTTGATTACGCGGCAGACTTTTATGATCGATGTATCTCAAAAATGTGTGCTATCGAAAATAAGTGAAGTAGAAATGATATTTTCATATTTCCAGATCGAACTGTCACGAATTTCGTAAACACAGAAGTCGGAGGAAAAGTGCCACTGTCACAACCCATTACCTAGAACCGGCCTAAGGACAATCCCCTCATGTCTGTCCTACCACTAAATGCCTCTCACACTATGTATTGAAGAATTTAGTGTTTCCATAGAAGCGAGCATATTTGAGATATCACTTGATATAATTCATTGTTTTGAAGTTGTCAATCAATTATACTTGAAATATAAAAGTATTCGCACCTCGTCCTTCAATAATACCAATCTAAGTACCCACGAACTCTTTAACATAACATCCAATGTTATATTGGCGCCCAACGTGGGGATCGAACCCACGACCCTGTTCAAATTGTAGGAAAACTCTCAACATTTCCAAATTAGACATGATGGCTATGATCCCCCAGGGCGGAGAGGCATTTCTGAACCCATGTTTATGTGAACTTTTTCTCACTATTTTTTTTTCTGGGATCTGTGGTTGCAATTTTTCTTCGCAATTTTGGGACACCCTGTATACTGTGCTTCTCAAAAGTGCCCTCCTCCCTTTCATCTTTGGCACGATTATACATAAACAAGTAAAATTTGGAAACTGATAATATTATTATGAATATTAAAGGTTGTGACGAAGATCCCTACTAGTGATGATAGATGAGGAAATCGTCGGAGATGACGAAATCGTCGAAGATGACGACACAAGTTCATTGTGACCTATAATTTCAAATTGAACCCTACGGCAAGCGACACCTATCTTAAAAGGTATAAAGAAACCTATTAATGATACTCGTTCTGTTTGATATTATAACAGTTTTAGCAAATCGCTAAATAAAAAGAAAAAGCTGTGAGGAATTTAATTAGTTATCAGTCAAATACCAATTCCAAGCCTGTATCTGTATAGTTGTCAAATAATCTGAACTTATTTATTAGTCTCTCTAATTCGACGTTTTTGTAAGTGTCCAAGTTTTTGAATTTGTGAAGGGGAAGGGACGTTTGAGGAGCACTGTATGGGCTGTAGGAATAATCGATCCACGTCCAAGGAAAAAGGAATCTTGTTGATAAGAAATATACAGAAGTGAGTCAGTTCAGCAATAAATACACAAAAAATTATTCCATATGTTACTATACGCATACTTGTTTATACTAACCGATATCAGTCGGCACAGAATTCCAATGGAAATCAAAGTTGTTAGAGGACGATGTGGACCCATTGATTTTTTGAAAGTGACAGGTATCTGTTAGGAAAATGAGAAATTATCAGATATACAGTCATTTGCTTGAATATTTATATTTATATGGAAATAAGGTGGCTCAAAATTCGTATGGCTTGAAATTATAATAATAAACTGATTTGCGATGAACAAGTACATTCAAAAACCCCAACCGTTGTCATTTCTGTGTCCGAACTCTCTCAAACTAATATCATCCAGTGACTCTATCGCCTACCAACATGACAAACTATCTAGCTTTTTTATTCAGATCGACAACCCATATAGCACACGACGTCCAGTGGACGTCCAGTTTAGGTCCAAATAATGTCCAAAGGTCTATGAGCCTAACATGGACGTTCAATGGATGTACAATTAAGGATATATTTTGTAACGTTCAGTACTGTACACCTTATGGATGTCCATCGAGAGTACGATATTCGACTTCACCAAAACATCCATATTTGTAGGTTTCAGAACGTTCAAGAAATCGGATCCAAATTGTACGTTTACGATCTATGCACGATCAATGAATGTACAATTCCGGATATATTTTTTAAGATCAAAATGGTCCGATTGATGTACATGATTGGATCCAGTTTGTACGTTTATGTATGCACGTTCAGTGGATGAACGATCCCGGATATTCATTGTATGTTCAGTTTCGTGCGTCCAATGATTGTCAAGTTGATGTACAATTTTCCACATTATGAAACATTCATATTATGGCAGTTCTAGACCGACCTAGAAGAGTACGGTAGTGATCTAAATTGTATGTTTACAAATTGAACATTTATGTACGTTCAATGAATGTACGATGCTGGATATATATATTGTGAAGATTTTTACTAGCTGCATACACGTAACTGATCAATAGAATGAAGAGATTTTGTATTTCGTGTAAATTTTTTTTAATCTCAACATGTATTTTTGAAAAATTTTACAATAACCCTTTAGGGAACATTTTTGTTAAATGTATGTCTGTTCATAATCCCGTTTGTACCATAATGATGTCTGTGATCACTAATTTTTGGACCTTTTTGTAAATACTTGACGAGTAAGTAATCTACCTTTTTAGATTTGTTTTTGAAATTTCATGAATGTTACTTACTTGCAGGTATAGCACTGATGATGGCTTTTTAGCCGAAAGCGCTTTGCGATTTATAATTAAAAAAAATTTACACGAAATACAAAATCTCTTCATTCTATATATATTGTACCTTCAATATTGTACGTCTTATGAATGTCCAAGAGTGGTACAATATTCGATTTTGTGGATCATCCAAATAATGGTAATTTCAGGACGTCCAAAAAATGAACATGATATTTACAAATTGTTTTTTCTGCACGTTTATAATTATTCTACTCACGGTTATAGCACAGCAACAGCTGCACCTCCTGGTCCTCGTAGAGATCAAGGGCGGCGACGAGCCGCACCCTGGCGCCCTCTACGGCGTGCAGGTGATGCGCCTGCCCCGTCCTGCCGTTCACCACGTCCCAGTGGCTCTTGTAGCCCACGCACACCAGAGTATCCCCGTGCGTGGGCGAGCTGGGGCTCCAGCCACTGTCAAGGATCGTTACCATGGAGGGGGTCTCGTTGAGGATCAGCTCCTGAAACGGGGGAACCAGAAGACGCTAACGCGAAATTTTTGAAATTTTGGGGACTTTTTTCTGTGATTCAGCGTCATTTTTTGATCATATTTCCTCATTTTCAGTTAGTTTGTAACATCAGATGAGGAATCGTAGAAAACATTATTCATTCGGAATCTGTTCAATATCGGTAACTTTTCCTATACATGTTCATCCGGTTCTATTAGGTATATACACTGAGAGAAATGGATGCGGTAGTCAATATAACAAACGTTTAGTTAAATAGGCGCCAGTCACAATATTCATCAAATAATCCCAAAAAAAATTGTATCATACTATTCTATAAGTATCATACTATTTTGTATTGGTGATATTTGATATAGTAGTGACTGGCGCCTATTTAACTAAACGTTTGGTAACTTTTTTTCAGTGTAGGTACATTGGTAAATCACAATTTATATTTCTCGATCGTATTTGAGGTATGTCTTTGATCAAATGAGACATTGGTAACCTGTCAAACCACTTATCAACTCAAATTCCTAGTTCAACATCATACAGATCTGCGACTTCAATCGTATAGGTCACATTGGTTCCTATATATGTTTCAATACTGATTTTGGCAAATTGAAATTTCACAAGCATCACAAGTTATCAAGCCATATCGAATATACAAAATATTATTGAAAAATGGCAGAAGTGGCTCAAATGATGAAAAAAAAAACCCTGACGTATGTTATTCTCTTCTCTGCTTATCTCTTCGTCTCGAATGTGAACTATTCCAATTCGTCGTCACCAATTCATATAATCGAAATATCTCCAAATAAACCGCTATGACTATGTTGAAAACACTAGAATTCCGACACGTCGCAAATCAGGTTGAAATGTTGCAATCACCTACCCTAAAAACTCTAGTTTTAGCGACAAAAACGCTAAGATGGCAACCCTGGGGAGAACACATTGATCACGTTCCGATATTCCCGAACAGTACTGCCCAGTATATTTAATAGTTCCGATAGGTTTAGATTCACATTTTGATCGAATTGACCATGTATATCTGAGAAAACGAACGGAATACCAAAACTTTTTATTCCATTTGATTACGTCTAAAAATTGATTTTTTTATGAAAAAAATATAATGAGGGAGATTATTACCACCAACCCCAAAAACCCGAAAATAGAAAAGAATTCCATCTAGCTGTCAAAAGTGATTTGAGATGTTTCACCACGGATAGCTATGGAAACCGCATTTTTGCTTCATCACCCCCCCACTAAATGGGGGGTGCAAATGAAAAAAAAATTCGGTGAATTTCGCTGAATTTTTGATATTATGTAGTCTATATGATTCTGATCAGAAAATCATCGGGTGACAATTCTAGAAGAATAAACTACCATTTGATTCTGAATAGAAAGACAACTTTTTTCAATACTGTATTGCTATCATCACTTTTGACAGTTAGATGGAATTCTTTTTTCTTGGCCTTCAAAATAGGGGCTGGTGGTGATATTTCTTCCCCATTATACTTTTATATGAAGAATATATTTTTAGAAGTAATTGAATGGGATGGATAAAAAATTTTGGAATATCGTTCATTCTCTCAGAAATAAGTTTTTCACAAAAAATATAAATAAATATGAATGAAGAAACTTTATTGATGGTCGATTCGATCAAAATTTGAATTTAGGGGTTCATTTTTGGGGGTTGGCTTCATGAAAATATTTTATAGAATCACATGAACTACTTCATACCAACAATTTAGAAAAATCCACAGGGACCCCATTTACCATTGAAAATTTTGCGGGGTCCTCCACTAGCAACGTTTTCGCGGGTCATTGTAAGCAACCCTGTTAGTGTCTAAAAGTTTACTGTTGGCCCAGAAATAGTGATGCAGTACCAGTTCATGAAATGATAGGTTAAGCGTTTGAATGGTTGATGGTTGATGACAATTTTTTTCCTTCTTTCTCTTGAAGCTAGTTGCTTATAAGAGAAAGAGTAATGCAGGTACTGTGGAAAGGATGAGAAAACCGCTATCCACATACTCATGGAATGTGTAGCTCTATACAAAATCCAAGGGCAAAAAACCTAGGAGCACACATAAGAGAGGAGGAGGAGCTACCTCACCTAGATCCACCTCATTTTTTATTCTGAAATCTCTGAGGGATATAGGACTAGAAAAATCAATATATATAGCTATAGAGAAGAACCTCATAGGGTTTAGCAAAATAAAGGGGCACAGTAGATCTTCAAGGTCGCAGTGTATTATATCCTTATGAATACAATTCAATACAATTGTATTGGAGATACGATGGCCACTATCGCAGCGCTCATTAGCAATTGGTAGTTCAATTCACCATATTTAATTTTACTATACTTAACTTACCCATAAAAACGTGAATCCCTCTACTGTATCTGTATCACTGGATGGACACCAAGCTGTCCAAGCTGCTGAATGTTTCCACTGGAACATCAGCAATTTTTTACCTATTGCTACGCACATTCGTAGTCGAGCTCCTCCTACGGAAAATCAGAAGCACTTAGTAGCTAATACTTAATTTAGTTGCATGAAATTTTCTTGCTATTTTTTATATCCCAGTATCCCACTACTATTCCATCAACAATTATCCATCCATTCAAATCTTTTTATTGTTCTCAAACGTTTCTGTAGGAAATTATGATCTTTTGAAAAATACTCGTACATTTACTTTCTTTCTGGGATTCAGATTGATTTCCAGAAGATATTCATTCGATTAATTCGAAACGGACACCTTTCAGAAGATATTTCATGGATAGACTTCGGAATAGCCATAAGATACCCAATGCAGAAGTAAATAATATAGTTGATTATACCAGTACTCAATACTGATAGATCATTTTCGAAGAATATTTACCAATCAAGCCGCGAGGAGCAACATATTCAGAAAAATACAGCAATTATTGCGAGTAGTATACTCTACTTTATTTACGACTAATTACTTGAGATTTCAACAGTATAATGCCCCATATTATAGTGTGATACTCATTTATGTATATCAGTCATGAAGAGGATAAAACAGATATCAAAATCACTTTCCAGAATCTCTATTCCGGTTCTTTAGCATTTTCGAACAAAAAATTGATCATTTTGGGAAATACTCTCATTTCCATGGGATTTTCATCAATAAAGATATCGTCCATCAGATGATATTCTACGGCTAGTATTAATATTGAAATGTTCTTGTATTATGAGTCCGACACGCTGAATTTCTTCTTCCAGAGTTGGTAATGGTAACGTCAAACTGTCAGACACGATTGATACGAAGTTTTGTGTGGGTAGAGAATGAAAATTCAAATGTTTTCTGATTGTTACCAAGTATTCCTAATATTCGATGTTTCCATTGACGACATTTTTTTGAATAAAAGAGTAAAAAATAAATGCAGGATAAAAAAGTATATTACACACGTTTCATAGGATATATATATTGTCGCTCTAGTTTTCTTTTATAGAAGTGATCCCTGTTATCTCAATTATTATTATCTTCAACACTCCAGATATATTTTTGGTGTTTCGTACCTACCTAAATACAGTTCTAATTCAGTTCCACATCCTGAAGAACATAATCTTCAAGGTAATTTTCTAAAAATGTGAATAACATTTTTTCATCTAATTGTTTTTATATTCCTTTGATGTAATAAAACTGCACATGATATTCCTCAATGATACCTCAATCACCTATTATATCTCTAAAAAATATCCCGTGTATATCTAGTGAACCAAGTCATATGGACATCCCTGAGGATATCACGTGAATATTCTTAATAAACATTTTATAGAAGTCCAGCTTCCTCCATTCGGAACATCCATTAGACGTCCGATGTTATCTGGATATCCAAACCATTGTCTGCTGAATATGAAGAAAAAAATTTGAAAAGATTTTTTCTCCATATATAGCAGACAATGTCCCAAACATCCAGAATGGATTTCCATCGAATAGTCGTGTGTTGACTGGAATCATTCATGTTCTTTCCAATATAGGCTCATCATTGGTCCAATCGGCGACCTACATTGCTTGCCGGAGCGACAATCCGTGAATCAATTTTCATCCTAACGAGTCCCTTCCGCAGCTGAGGCCTCAAAGGTCTTTCGTATCGCCTCCTTCACGTGTATTTGCATAATAATGAAGGGTCTGATCCCGGCTAACCACCTTGCAAACTGCTCGCTTTCATCTAGCGCCCAAATTCAATTATTGCCTGATGAGAAATGCCAATGCGAGACGAGTCATGTTTATCCATAATTCAGAGGCGATTGGAAGCTGTCTAGCCCAAGAAACAAGATCGAGGGATTTGTAGATAGGTATAGATATGCAGAGGCAATTAATATAGGCAATTAATGAGGCTTCTGACAATCCAGAATCGGTATAAAAAACTCGATTCAGTCAAAAATAATATCAAGAGAATATACCTACATAATAATAGTTTTCAAATGTACTTATCTACAGTTTGTTCCAATTTGCTCGACCACACCCATGTACTTTCGTAGGACGATTCAAGAATTTTTAACTCTCATAATATACTACTTTGAGCACAAAAACTCCATAAAAATTAAAAGGAACGGATAAGCCTTTTTATATTTTGATAACGGCAATCGATTCAGACTACCCACAAATACTCCTCTATTAATTTGCGAAACGATATCTCATAGGGGGTGTTTTTAACAACGTTAACATTTTTTAATAACTGCGTTTTTCAAGTCACCGTGTACGAAAATTCTTTCAAGAATTTGAATATCAGACATGATGGTACTATCAGAATTAGATCATCTGATTACAGAGTGGAAAATTCAGGCGAAGAAATAGAGAATTCTCTAAGAGTAGCGATTGTATATAGAGAATGAAGGAGATTTGATCGAGAATATAAAAATCTGATATTGTTTTAAAAATTGATATAAGAGTATTTGTCACTAGTCCAAATCGATTGCCATTAACAAAATGGTGGTTGATAAATGCCTAATCCGATTTTTCGGTTTTCGTGATCGCAGTAGGCCAACAAATTGTGTTTGTTAATTTTATTTTGCTCGACAAAGTAGATAAATTTGAGTAGTATATTATGAAAGAGAAAAGTACAGGAGTAGGATGGAGCAAGTTGTAACACACTGTATATATCCAGTCACAGAACTGCTATTTATCCATTTAGATAGATAGAATATATAAAAATACATTTCATATCAAACTTATCTGCGCAGTATTCAGCTCTTTAAAAACACAAGAAATGTAAAATACGGAATTATTTTCGAGCGGTATAACTCTTCATTTTACTTGATTATTTGGAATTTTCTCTCTTGTTTCAATGAAATAAAAATATGAGTATTATTTCAATATAATATTATGTGTAGTAGGACAAATCAGATGGTTTGGCTCAAAATGTCACTGCGTTTGAAAATGTTTCTATCAGGGAGCTTAAGAAGGAAAATTCAATAGCTTGTCAGTCACACTTTGTTTGGAAAAATGTTTGAAGGAAGGATATATAGATATATTGGAAAAATATCGAATTTTTACTTATCTTTGGACGTTTCGGAAACAAATTTGTTCCCGTTCTCAACTTGAAAATGCAAAAATATTTTGCGAAAGTTGTGATCTCATAGTTTGACATTTCTCAGTGACACACTGACGTTGACAGATGAATAAGTGATGTTACTATACAAACTCGTGTACAAATGAGTTACAAGATGTCTTCATTAATTAAGGAATCCGCTTGCATTTTTTTGAAGGGAGACAATATAGCATATTGCTTCCTGTTCAGTTGATATAGATGGAACATTCACTACTGAAAACTGAACATGAAAATGGTAGATTCAAGATCAATTAATGGAAACATCCTCCTGCAAATTCCAGAACCGTACCTCAAGTGAGACAAAATTTAATTTGTCTGAACTTAAAATTTTCTAGGAAAACTATGAATAGTTATAGTGAATTGGGCGTTATTGAATTGGGCCGAAGTGATTTCAAACCTATTCTGATTCCTAATATCATTTTCTGGAAATTGGGGTGGTTCCATGGCTGTTGGCGAGCAGTGATTATCACTGAAGATGACCCCACTCGGTCATAGAGTGCATTTCTGGTATATCTCTCGCTCCAGCAAATTTCAGGATCCCTACCCAACGATTACGAAAGATACAGGGGTGTTTCCATTAGAAGTTTGTCACTCTGTACTATTATTTATTTTCAGAGCATTGTAACTTTTCTGGAGAAAGGTTTCTCAAAAAAAAAAATTATATCAAATACCCACCTTGATTTCCATCACAGAATCACCCCTTAATTTTTTTCGGTGTTATTTGAATAGCTCGCATGAAAGGTGTATAATATATTTTACCTACGGCCACTATAGAAAGTAGGCAAGAACACACGAGATACAGCCCCAGTAAGTAGCTCTTTACGTACAGTAAGCACATCGCATACTTATCGTTTATTCCGCTATACCTACAACTATAATGTCATTAGACTGTTTGTCTAAACTTTTTTGATGTACTATATAGCAGTAGGTAAAGTTTAGTACGTAATGCGTGTTGTAAAACAATTGCGCACCTATGGAATTAGGCACTCGCCGCTCCGCGGCAAAATATACTGTAATGATATTTCCCTGCTTAGAGGGGCTCTAGAAACAGCAGGAAGGCAGGAGTACAACGATCATCCTGTAACACGCATCTTAGATTGTTCTCCAACATCCCAATGATTCCTACATGTACCAGCCTATTTTCGAACACTCAATATATGTCGCGGTGACAAATAACGTGACAGAAGATTCTGGAATGTTCTGGAAACAATCGATGGAACAATCAGAGAGAGAGGTGTTGTTCTAAGAAGCCTCTAGAGCAAAAAGAATGCGTGCGGAAGATCATTCGGGAACGTTCGAGAAGCAAAGCCTACCAATAAGGGATCCCATAATTATATTGATCATTCTAGAACACGTGATCTTGACATGGTTTCTTGAGGGGCACACAAACTATCTGTAAGGTTACCTTTGATGAGCATTGCCCAGGCCGTCCCTCTGCCACATCCATAATATAATGACAGTTTCACCAAACAAAATTATGAAATTCTTTCTGGTTCCAACTCGGATTCCAAGGAAAACGATCCCACTAATTCTTGTTTTCTATGACAGATCTTGACAAAATACAATGTTTGCCCCTCAGCAACCTGTCAAATGACGTACTTCTGGAATGATTAATATGGACGGCCGGTCAACTGCAGTGAGCCAGTCAAGCAGCGAGTGTCAGAGAGACAGTCATATACTGCGTGATATAAATTGTTTTACATAAATATTAGTTCTTAAGGTCGATATTAATTAGTGTTCCAATAGTTGAAAATAAATCATTCCGGAAATGAATTGTGTCGTGTTCGCTTCTGCACCCGAATAACGTAACAATACTAATAATTAACACCAACCTGCCCTAGAGATAGCATACAAATTGGTTCCTCTAGTCCTTTCGAGCCTGTGCTCCTTAGTTTCGAGCCGCGACAAAGGATCTTGAATGCACTCTATCTGAGACAACCTGAACACGTAGATTTTCCCCTCCTTGTTGCTTTGACCTGCTCGCATCAGGAAAATTCCGTGGGGTTCGACCACGCTCAGTTGACGAACCGACAGCGTCTTATCGAATATTAGTCGGTGAGAACTCCCATCTGGAACATGGAAAACATGGAAACGCATCTACTTCAGAGGAATTTTAATCAAATAAACACCGTTTGAAAGTTTCATTATTTTCATCTACTTTTCTCCAAGAAATTAACGCATCAGCAAAAAGTGGCCAACTGTTTATAATAGGAAACATTTACGTGAAAACTACTCCGATTTGGACGTTTTTTGTTTTGAATGGCAGGTTACTTCCTTCAGAACATTTGCACACCAATGAATACAGCCGATTCTCAAAAGACGAATGAAATTCTCGGGTATACAACTGGCGTGTGCTAGTTGTGAATCATATTCTCAAGTACCCGTAGAGATACCGTAGACAGTCGACAATATTTGTCAATTGGATTGATTTGGCAACAGAGTAACACATGCACATAATGCTGATATTTTCGATGTTTACCCTCAATTTTGTGTACCATAACGATTAGACTGATTATAGTGATGTGATAAGTTGTTAATTGTTGGTTGAGTTGCAGGTTGAAGTTGAATAAAAATAAAGAAATAAAGAACAATAAACTTTTTCGTTAATCAAAAAGATTTTACGAATCGTACGTTAGTCGTCAGTGATTCTATTCATAGAGTCTCCTTGTACTTCGTTCACAGTCTCCAATGCATCTTCCATGTTCTCTGAGTTTTCGATAGCTGCCAATATTGACATCCCTTCGTTCATGGCGTGAAAATTATTAATTCAATTAGTTTTTATGTATCATTCATGCACAGACACTAAGTAATAACATTCCCATCAATGTCTCAATGATTTTTGCTAAAAGTCGTCCAGTGACTTTTATTTCCACTAGGTAGAACCCATTCGTTGTTTTGTCTACTGAGAATTTTCTAATGTGACATATCTCAGAATACATATTTATGACAATTCCACTCATGTATAATAATGTCCATTTGCGAGTACAAAAATCGTAGTTTGCTATCGGCTAAATATGAAGGAACAGAAATGCAAGTGGATAAAAAAATCGGATAAATCACGTTACCGTAGCAACGCTAGTATTTACTGTTCGTTCATCAAGCGTTATTGCGCGTCGCATCAGTTTGACAATTGTAAATGTCAAAAACAGAATTAATCAGCAAATAATATTCTAGTGAGTATGTCGAGATTTGGAAACATTTGCGAGGCAGAAATAGTGAGGGAGATTGAAAAATCAACTCCAGAAAATACAAAAAAAAAGTCAATCCTCCATTTGGAATCAATTCAGCGAATTTTGTAAACAACGAAACTTCAATTTGGAAACCGAACAGTCAGTGGATAATGTGGCAGGAATATTGATGGACTGGGGCTTTAATATGAAGAAACAGAATGGGGAAGATTATAAAGAATACGTGGCGAAAACAATGTGGAACACAACAGCGAAGATGTTGCAAAGCATGTATTTCGAAAAATTTAATGTTATTTTCAATCCTTTCACTGATTTGGCATTCAAGAAATCCCGTGATGCACGTAATTCTAAGCGAAAGAACTTACAAGGTAATTTAGAAAAACGTAAAAATAGTTCAACAGCCTTGACTAAAAGTGAAATTGTTAAAATGGCATTGATATGGGATGAAAATAGTCCTATAGGTCTTTTAAAAAGATTTTTTCATATCGCTGCATATTAATTAGCTTGGCGAGGAGGTGAAGCTACAAAATGTGTAGTACACTATTTTAAAGAAGAAAAATCAAATAATGGTGATTTTACTGGCCGCATTGAATATAATACAGTTTTTTCCAAAACATGTCAGGGCGGCTCAAACAAATGCTGCGACAGTAAATGGCTAATAAAAAAACATAGAAAACCCAAGCATATGCCCAGTAACATTGTTTTATAAAATATTATCACATAGACCGAACCATATTACGACTGATAGATTATTTATAACCCCCAATCCGTTTTGGAAAAGTAATTCACCGAAAAGTTGGTACAAAAATGTTCCTATAGGAGTCAACGAAATTCTCAAGTGGACGAAAATTTCAGCTGAAAAAATTGGACTGGATACAAAGAATAAAAAAATGTTTAATCAATCTCATCGCTCAAGCGCCGTTTCAACTCTAGCTAAAGCAGGTATCAATGAACAAGAATTGATAAAAATAACTGGACATTCCTCTTCCAAGTCCATAAAGCCTTATTCACAACTTGATAATGAGCATCATTCGCATCTTGTAACAAATATTCGAAATAAAGCTTTGGATAATGAATCAGCCATAGTGTCCACATCCATGTCAATGTCAAACACAAAATCTACATCAGTAAAGGAGCAAATGTCTACTGAACCAATTGTATATAATAATTGTGTTTTTAACAACTGTTCTTTCTAAACATTATTCTTTTACTTGTTGTTCTTTTAGTTGGTTGAATAAAGTTTAATTGAATTGAGTTTTCTATTCATGGAATTGTCTTACCAAATACCACGCGAGCTCAGATCTAGCAGGATATTTTTTACGGTGGTTTTCTCATACTTGCTTTCATATAGGTAATTTAACTCGATCTATTCGGACAAAATCACTCGAGCTACGCTCTCGTGATTTTGTCAGAACAGCTCTCGTTAAATTGCCAATGAAAGTAAGTATTCGAAAACAACCACAAAAAATATCCGGCTAAATCTGAGCTCTTGTGGTATTACCCCCGACAATATCAGTAGACATATGTCAAATTTCGCATTAGTCTTCCAGATTTGAGAATTGGGTCCCTGGTTTTCCTTCCAAGGATTCGTTACCTTCCACGAGATAGACCCCCTCGTCGGTCCCGATGGCCAGTCGGCCGTCGCCCCACGAGTCTGCGCACAGCACGCTCTGCGTGGGGAACGCTGGGTAGAAGCAGCTGGCCTCCCAAGGCGACCGCCTGAAGACGGCGCCGGCGCTGCAGCTGGCCGAAGCGAGGCTGGTCGGCGCGTCGCCCCGCACGATCGCCTCCAGCTTCAGCGCCTGCCCGACGCGGACGAACTCGATCTGGCGCGAGTCCTCTTTGAGGCGCGAGTGGCGTGGGGTCTCCACCAGGACGTCGGAGAAGGCGCGACGGTTCAGCATGGTCTGGAAAACAAGATGAGAGGGTCAATGTTGTAATAGCTTGTTCATAATACGGGTTCTCGACCAGGACGTCGGAGAAGGCGCGACGGTTCAGCATGGTCTGGAAAACGAGATGAGAGGGTCAATGTTGTAATAGCTTGTTCATAATACGGGGTCTTGACCAGGACGTCGGAGAAAGCGCGACGATTCAGCATGGTGTGGAAAACAAGATGAGAGGGTCAATGTTGTGATAGCTTGTTCATAATACGGGGTCTTGACCAGGACGTCGGAGAAAGCGCGACGATTCAGCATGGTGTGGAAAACAAGATGAGAGGGTCAATGTTGTAATAGCTTGTTCATAATACAGGGTCTAGACCAGGACGTCGGAGGAGGCGCGATGGTTCAGCACGGTCTGGAAAACGAGATGAGAGGGTCAATGTTGTAATAGCTTGTTCATAATACGGGGTCCAGACCAGGACGTCGGAAAAAGCGCGACGATTCAGCATGGTGTGGAAAACAAGATGAGAGGGTCAATGTTGTAATAGCTTGTTCATAATACGGGGTCTTGACCAGGACGTCGGAGAAAGCGCGACGATTCAGCATGGTCTGGAAAACAAGATGTGAGGGTCAATGCCAATCATAAAATCCTGATTGACAGTATGGACGATGGAGACATTAGAATAATTGTATCGGAACTCTTCGTCTTGCCATACTGGAACGAAACAATTTGTAGAAATTGGGGGGTTTCGACCAGGACGTCGTAGAAGGCGCGACGGTTCAGCATCCATGGTCTGGAAAACAAGATGAGAGGGTCAATCTCAATCATAAAATCCTGATTGACAGTATGGAGGATACTGGCATTAGAGGAATTCTATCAGAACTCTTCCAGTCTTATCCCATACTGGAAAGAAACAATTTGTAGAAATTGATGACACTAAAAGTGATATACTAGAAGTGGAGACTGATGTACCACAGGGAACAGTACTTGGTCCAATATTGTTCCTTATATACATTAATGGCATGCTCAATCTTGACCTTAATGGTAGTGTATCATCATTTGCCGATGTCATTGTCATTTACAAATAAAAAACTTTGGTACTGTATGTTTTTGTATCCCTCAATCCATGTATGTATGTAAAAATTGAAGAAATGAATGAAAAAATGTAAAAAATTAAAGGAAACAAAAAAAATAACTAAAAAATTAGAAAAAAGTCACTTTCTCATTTCAAAAATATTTTTGCTGTATTATTTGATTTATGTATGTATGTTTATGTGTATAGTCATTATATCCTTCATCACTAGACTACAAGATTGTATTTAGATTCAATACTCCCATAACAAGGAAACTTCATGGGAGCTGTTGGGTTTATTCCACATGAAGTACCAAGTTGAAATGTATTTGGTAATATTGTTTACCTGTATGACCTAGCGAATAAACTATTATTATTATAATATTATATATAGCTTGTTCATAATAATCAAAAAATTTCATCACTGTTACGACAACATTATTAAATCTGATAATTCAGTTACTTTATATATTTTTCTACTCACGTAATTAAAAGGGCATTCAACGTATGGATATGTACCACGCTAAATGATCGATTAATCACGAATTGACGATCTGTGATTTATTCAAAATATTAAACATATTACCATGGCAACACGATTTCTTAAACACATTACCATGGCAACACAGTTCATTAAACACAGCTTCAGTAATTTGAGGCATGTCTGGCCTGCTGTCAATTTGTATTAACTGTAACTGTTATTTTCGAATTTTGTATAAGAATTATTCAAACAATTTTCGTTTGAATCAGAATTCTTCATCAAAAATATATGCGAAAAGTAGACGAGAGTGAAATCGAAGAGAATGTTCTGGTACTTGCATATCTCCAAGAAGTGTAAAAATGAAGCATCCATCTTTGAGAACAATTCATTTATTCTGCGCTGAGCATGGCAATAAAAATAAATGAAACAAAGGTTAGTAAGCAATGGACTGGAAACATATACAACCAATATCACTTATACGTGTCTCGCTGGTTGCATGCAGTTGCATGTATTATGTTCTCAATTCTCATTCCTTTCGAATTATTTTGTAGGTTAGCAAGAATTGCAAGTATGTTTATGTAATTTTCGGAGTTCGTAGAAAAATCATAGTATGTAACGCGTTTATAAACTCTTCTAGACACTCGTTTATTAAACACTCGCTCCGCTCTGCTCCGCTCGTGCTTAAACTACTCGTTACTAAAAGGACGTTTATAACACTTGTTACATAATATACTATTAACCAACGCATGACAGTTCGTCGCCCCTGTGACCAAAAGGTGTAACTGAGAAAGGACCCCGCACTAAACTATAGGGGAAATGGCTCTCGATGAAAATCGCTGAATTTTTGGTATGTTGCAGACTTTGATATACTGAACAGATATTCCATTGAACTAACCTCAAAAAATGGACAGTTTTTCCGATATTGGCCTCCAAATGTCATTTTTTCGAGAAAAAAAAGTATCTGAAAATGGTTGAATTTTCGACATGTTGTAGATAGAAATGAACTGATGAAAAAATCTAATTGACATAACCTCCAAAAATTGACAGTTTCCTCGATATTGACCTCCAAATGTAATTTTTTCAAGAAAAAAAAAATCTCTGAAAATGTCTGAATTTCTGGTATGTTGTAGATCGGAATGAACTGATGGAAAAATTCAATTGACCTAACCTCAAAAAATTGACAGTTTTTCGATATTGACCTCCAAATCTAATTTTTTCGAAAAATAATCTATAAAACGGTTGGGTTATGTAGGTATGTTGTAGATATGAATGAACTGATGAAAAAACCCCATTGACCTTACCTCAAAAAATTGACAGTTTCACTGCTGCTGACCCCTAAATGGCATTCAAACAATTGTATGAAAGTATACCTTCAGAATGTTATCCTGTACAATTCCAAGGTTAGGAGAGAGGGAAAAATAATGCTTTATCATCATCGACGTTTCGTCCTTCATTATGGGGCATCCTCAGAAATCTATGAGTAAACCTACTAAAAAAATGAGCCGATTAAACTATGTTGCAGTTTCGATTTTCAAACATATTTTTCGGAGTCACGCAATAATGATGCTGCAATGCTAAATAATGAATTTGAGAGGGATGGCGATGAAATGAGAGCTTGGTTCCAGGAAAATGATATTATTTTGGTAGATTTGGGATATCAAGATGCTGCACCATTATTAGAACGTTTAGGTATTCAGTATAGGATGCCGGCTCATCTTCAACCTGTCCAGAGACAACTTTCAACGGAAGAGGCAAACGAATCGCGTTTATTGACAAAAACAAGATGAATTGTAGAGGCGAGAAATGGACATATAAAATCTATTTTCAAGTTTTTCCAACAAACAATTAATGTTCCACATATCCACAATCTTGGTGATTTTTATCGCATTGCAGAAGCAATAATGAATAAATACCATCCGCCAGTTCTCATGGAGATTGCCAATGCCCAACTGGCAAGGCAAATGATCGATCGTTCACGGACAGTCAATATCGTATACAAGCACGAGTAGAAGTCGATAATCTTGCTACTAGAAATGGACGATGGGTTCGATTGGATCAACATCGTCTTCTAGATTTTCCGTCTCTCACTTTGGCTCAGTTGCGTGATATAACTGTTGGCATTTATCAAGTTCGATTGGCCCCTTCATATATTCAAGACAAACTCCAAAGAGAACAAGGGGAAGAGTTTGAAGTAGATCAACTTACTGATGAGCCAGGTCTCCTAAAAGTTAGACTTTATTCTCGGCTTCAGAAATGCTGTGAAATATCAGTTATGGATAGCTTATGAACCTATCGACTGAGGATTTTAATAATATTATTCTAGGCTAATATTGTACCTGTAAGTCGGGCACTCGGACACTAGGTTCGTGTGGACACGTAGCTAGTGTGTTATGGTTTTCAGGCTATGCACGTCATTTCCCAAATGTGAGATATCCCGCATCGTCCCTTATGGATAGAGTGTTGGATGCTGCTCATCGGCCTCAACAAGTTAATCCAAATGTTTGAAAATACCATCTGAAGGCTTTCTAAGAGAATACGAGAGACAAAGCAATATGATTGATTCAATTTGATGATATGATTATCAATACTTTTTCCAAAGATCATAAAGTATTTTCAAATAAGTCAGTTTAAAGCCCTTCGAGCACGGAATTTCGCAACGCGTATGTTTTTTGCTGAAGCTACTCTAATGGGCCTGTTTCAGGAAAATATTTCATTTTCATTCATCATTTTGAAGAACTAACCCAAACTTGTTCACTTGTTCACTTGTCAATTGTAAATAATTATTGAAATTCACGATATTTTATCTCATGAAAATCGCTGGACAACACGTGTACATACTGTAAATAACTATTGGAATTCCCGATATTTCATTACGTGAAAATTGCGAAACAACGCGTGACGTCATATACCGGGATCAATTCATTGCAAATATTTTATTTTATTCCATAATTTTGAAGAGCTAACCCAAACTTGTTCACTGTCGCAAACCGTTTTCTGTTCAGATCTCTGTATATATTGTAAATAATTATTGAAATTCACGATATTTCATAACATGAAAATCGCGGGACAACGCGTGATGACGTTCTATACCGCGACCAATCCATTGCAATTATACTATACGATACGATTTATGTATTGTGTATACTTCAGTACACAACACCCCAATCCGACTATGGAAATAAATCCTCAATTCTATGAAGAATTTGGAAATATTCTCATTGGTTGTTGAGCAATAAAAATCTAAAAGTGTTTATCGGTATCGGTATGTCAATGTCACGTCATCTGCGGCAAAAGTGTTGCTGAGAGGTGATTATTCTGATTATTTAAAAAATATATTTGGTATTATTGTAAGTAATGAACGAGTGTATCGACTTCTTTGTATGTGTGTATACCTTTAACCCAATTGACTCCGGGAAGACTATACTATAACCATCTTTTGAATAATATATATTTCATTACATCCTCTCTTCGGC